TTTACTTCAGATTAATAGTTTTGCCACAAGTAGATAATAAATTTTATTAGATAAGGATTTTTTTTGCTATTTACCAAGAAAGTTACATAGGCTTTTCTTTTAGCCTATTAAATAAAACTATAATATACCAATAATATTGAAAAATCTTTATATTACAATGATATATTTATATTATTTTAGTAATCAACTTAGTCTGAGCTATAGTATTTTTAAGCTAAGTATTTTTGAGCTATAGTATCTCTATAGTAACTTTAAACTGATTTCTTTTTGTGCTCTAGTATTGGGTTATAATGGTAACTTACACCAAATAATATCAGAAACCTTTCTTTTTCTGTGCACTGCAATAATTTATATAGAATGAGAGCTAGATATTTAAATGGCATGCCTAAAACAATAGAAATCTGAACTAAAAGAAAAACATTTTTGCAACTTTTTTTTCCTTTATTCTCTTGGTTGTTTATTCAGGATTCAGAGTTTGCATTTTTCATTTTGTTTTTCTTAGGAGTGGTTTTATTGAGACTTTAAAATTTATTTGCATGGCACTTTATTTTATTTACATAATGCTTTCTTTGGGTGTGTGTGGGGGAGCTTTCCAGTGGTGCTGTTAGTCACCTGGGCTGCAAGCTCAGCAGAGCTCCTGCAACCAGATTCTTTGCCCCATCATTCTTTATTTAGTTACCTTTTAAAAGGTGTGAAACAATGCAATAATGAAGTGTAATCACAATAAAGAACCTTGAAATAACTTGAAATCTCACCAAATTTTAACATATTTAAAAATTCTGCATTTGTTTTTACTTTCTTTCATTCTGTCTAGTTTCTATATATTTGTGCCTTTCCCCGTTTTCCTTGATTTATATTTGGTAATGACGTAATGTTTTGGATTTCCACGCACTTCTAAGAGTTCCATTTATATTTTTTCACTAACTTTTCTGTTAAGTGGTTAAAACCACAAAGCTGTACAGTGGAACGATTTTCAAAATTAAATCTCATTTGAAACCCTTGTGTATAAATCAGGCTTGGGATGTGAGCTAAAAGGTGTGAAAAGGTGTGAGGGATGGGGGAAATGGAGGGAGAGAAAAGAAAGGGAGGTTCCCAGAGTTCCACTCACTTAACCTTCCCTCCCCCACTTCTCCTGGTGTGGTGAGAGCACTGTTAGACAGCCACTGTTCTGATTTATTAATTCTGCCCTTATCTTTATTGTTTCCTCCCTCCTATTTCCATAGACTGTTTTATTGCTCTTTTTGATTTCTTGAGTTGGATTCCTATTATGCTTATTTCCATTCTCTTATTTAATATTGTAGCTACTAAAGTCTATGATTTTGTCACTCTGTACAATGCTGTTTATTTCTTTTAATATCTTATACATATTATTTTTGCCATAGGTGTTAATTATAATTTTGAGCCTCCTCTTTACTCAATATGTATAGAAAGTATGCTTTCAATTTGTTTACTCTTTTCAGTATTGAGTTCTGGATTTATTTCATTGTGATCACTAAGTAAGATCTTTCTTATTTTTAAGAAATTATTGATATTCTTTTGTAACTCAGTGTTTAAATCAATTTTCATATTTTTTTATGCCAGTAATAAGGAGTATATTCAATTTTGGGGGTTAGGTTTAGTTCATGTCTTATTAATTACATTTAAACAATAATATAATGTTTTAAATATATTATTCATTATGTTTGCTATTCTAGAGTATAGAAAATGTTAGTAGTCTTGGGGACCAGGGGTACAGCAGGTAGGGCGCTTGCCTTGCAAGTGGTTAACTTGGGTTTCATCCCTGGCAATCTGTATGGTGGTCCCTCAAGCCTGTCAGGAGTGAGAATAGAGCCAGGAGTAAGTCCTGAGCACCCTTGGGTATGACCTAAAAACAAAACAAAAATTACTAGTCTGAACTGATATATATTAAATACAAAATGCACATCAGGATTTGAAGATTTATTACCAAAACTGATTAAAGTACCTTAATAATAGTTTTGTAGTGATTGCATATTGAAATGAAAATATTTTGGAAATCTCGGGTTAAATAAAATACTTATTGCAAAAATTATTTTTCCAGAATTTTTTGAAATGAGACTATTATAAAATTAAAAAAATGCATTGAATAACCGCTTTGTATGATTATATATTTTGTCTCCTTAATCTGTCAGACTGGTGATGGCATTAAGATTGTTTTTTCTGGTGATTTTAAATTTTTTTGTTTTTTTCCCCCCAGTTTAAATTACATTTTCCATAATTTTCACTGTATATATTATAGTACTTGCTAGATCATTTCTATTTTGGATTGTACCTTATAATAAATAAAAATGATTGTTGGCTTATTTGAGTTCCACTTAGATATAAACTAATGTTATTCTGCTCTTCTAAATATCCTATTCTGGATTTTTGGGGGGAGATCACACCTGGCAATGCTTAGGGATTATTCCTGGCTCTACACTCCAGAGTAATTCCTGGTAGTGTTGACAGGGGACCATAGGGGCTGCTGGGGATCAAGCCTCAGTTGGCTATATACAAAGCAAATGCCTTGCCCGATTTACTGTCTCTCCAGCCCCTGTCTTGGATGTTTTAAATGCCTCTTTTATCTCCAGCTTCATATCTTAAGCAGTAATTATGTTAATTTTATCTTTTGACATTGTCTAAATTTTTTTTCTTTTAATAGACTAATAGATTGATAATTTTCCCAGACAAGTCCATTTTTTAAAAAAAAAATTTATTAGTGAAACACCCTGAGGTACAGTTGTAGACTTACAAATTTTTGTGCTTGGGTTTAAGTTATACAATGATCGAGTACCCATCCCTCCACCAGTGCCCATTTTCCACCACCAATGATCCCAGTACCACTCCCACTCCCATCCCCCCATCCCACCCTGCCTCTGTGGCAGGGCATTCCCTTTTGTTCTCTCTCTCCTTTTGGGTGCTGTGGTTTGCAAAAGAGGCATTGAGAGACAATCATGTTCAGTCTATAGTCTACTTTCAGCATGCATCTCCCATCCTGGGAGGATCCTCCCAACACCCTTTATTTGGTGCTCCCTTCTCTATCTGAGCTGCCTTTTCCCTAGCATGTGCTGCTGGCCTCCAAGCTATGGAGTGAACCTCCTGGTACTTAACTCAGCTATTCTTGGGTGTTAGTCTCCTATTTTGTTACTTTATGTTCCCCAGATGAATGCAATCTTTCTATGTCTGTCCCTCTCTTTCTGACTCATTTCACTTAGCATGATACTTTCCATGTAGTACCACTTGTATGTAAATTTCATGACTTCATCTTTTCTAATAGCTACATAGTATTCCACTGTGTAGATGTACCAAAGTTTCTTTAACCAGTCATCTGTTCTTGGGCACTCAGTTTTTTTCCAGATTCTGGCTATTGTAAACAGTACTGCAATGAACAAACAAGTGCAGATGTCACTTTGGCTATACTTTTTTGCCTCTCCGGGATATATTCCCAGGAGTGGTATTGCTGGGTCAAATGGGAGCTAAATTTCTAATTTTTTGAGAATCGTCCATACTGTTTTCCAAAGGGGCTGAACCAGTCGGCATTTCCGCCAGCAGTGAAGGAGGTTCCCTTTCTTGCCACATCTGCGCCAACACCGGTTGCTTTTGTTCTTTTGGATGTGGGTCACAGACAAGTCCATTTTAATTAATGTTTTGGGACTTCCTATGTAGATGCTGGATACTGCATCCAGGGAGATGATGCTGCATCCAGAGAGGTGATGTGGGGAATAGGGGGAGGGCACATTCCTGGAAGTGTTTAAAGAATCATATAGTGCCTGGAATTGGATCAGGGCTTCTCCCATGCAAAGTGTGTGCTCCAGTCTTTTGAGCCATTTCTCTAGCCTCATTTACATTTGTATTTTTAAAATTTGGGTCAGATGGGGATCTCCTAATCAATGCTCAAGGAATATGGGGGCCACTCCAAACAATTCTTGGTGAACTGGACTGGACCACTCATTGCTAGAGCTGAGGATGCAGTGCTCTTTGGTCACTGCAGTGCTGGGTACATCCACGATCACCCTGATAATGCTATGGAGCCTTCAGGTTTGGTTATGCTGGCAATGTTCAGGGGACTGTTTGGTGCAGGAGAGGGACTAAACTATGGTGGGATGGACACAATGTTACTTAACTCCTGTACTATCTCTCCACATTCCCCTCCTCCCATTTAATTTTTGTTGGTTTGTTTTTGGGCCACACCTGGCAATGCTCAGGAATCATACCTGGTGGTGCTCAAGAATCACTCCTGGAGGTGCTGAGGGCACTATATGTAGTGTCAGGGATTGGACCCAAGTTGGCTGTGTGCAAGGCAAGCACCCAAAACCATCTAGATTGCCAGGGATTGAACCCAGGTTGGTTGCATGCAAGGCAAATATCCTACCAACTCTTGCTCTGACCCCTGCATATGCTTTTTTAAAATTCATAGCAAGATCTTGGTTTGTCATAATGTGTCTCTTTACATGCATATATAAAAGGTAAACTAGACATGACAAGAGTTACCATTTTAATTGTAATTACATGCACAGTTCTGTAGCATTTAGAAATTCATATTGTTCTGTAATTTTGATGTTTTTAAGGAGAAAATACTATTTCTCTTTCTTTTTGAGGGTATGCCTCTCAAGCAGTGCTCAGGGAGCTAAGGAGCCACTCTCTGGGATTCTCAGGGTCTTCCAGGGCTAAACTTAGCTATGTTCAGGAGGCCATGTGGTGTAAGGGATTGAACCCCTGTGCTATCTCCCCAGCCCTAATGTTTCATAGTCAGATTTTCTCTTTTCATATAGTAGCTATTCTTATGTCTTGTCTGCTCTTCTCTTCTCTTCTTGGGGGTCTTCAGGTGCTGCTTTTGGCACAGTACTTAGGTAGTCACTCCCAGTGGTTCTTTGTGGGGTGGGGGAGGCATGCAGTATGGGACATCTAACCTAGTTATCCCATGTACATATGTACACTGATGCTCTGAGCTATCTCTCCAGGCTAATTTTTCTTTTCTGATAATCAATTTTACTTTCTTTTAGATTCTGAAGAGTTCCTGGCAGAAGGTTTGCGTAATGAGAACCTCAGTGCTGGTGCAAGAGACCACAGAGACCATATTCTTCGAGGTTTTCAGCAAATCAAAACTCGGTTTGTTTAGATTAGTTCTCTTATTCTTCTTCAAAATTTTAAAACAATATATACTCAGTAAAATTTACTTAAAATTTTCTTTGGTCAAATACTCTTATTTGCATTTACCCCTTTATTTAAACAATATGATTTACAAAGTTCACGGCACAATTATTATAGGCATTCAATAGTCTAACACCAATCCCACCACCAGTGTGACCTTTCCTATACCATTGTCTCATTTTTCCAAATACTCCTCAAGCCTTCCCTCTTAGCAGAACAAAATGATTTATTTTATATTGCTTTGTTACAACTAAATGGTTAATGGAATCATCAAAAAATACTTATGTAAAATAAAATTTGTTAAAGTTGGTATATCTCACCATAGGGTCATTAAGTCCTTGTCTGAGGGTTTACTAAGCTATTTGTTGCTGTCTGACTCTTCTGTGTTATTGTTTTTGTTTATTGAGCTTAGTTGGCTTCTATGTTATTTTTTCATATAACTTGGTGTGTTCCTACCTACCTATCACTATCATAGTGATAGTGCTCCTGTCACTGTCATAGAATTTGGAAGTGTTGCACGGCTACAAATGTGGTCATGCACTCCAAAAACTCAAAGATATTTAATTCGACCGTGAATTTACATGGCAGCCCATGTGGGGTGTGGATATGGTTGCCAGAGCCTTCTGAAGTACAGGGAGAGGATGGGAAAAGCTGTCTTCCCCCACTCTGAGAAGACCCCAAAGTTCTCAGCCTGAAGACTGGTGTACCTGGAATTTTTGGCAGCTTGGTGTCTCTGTAGAGATTAGTTGTGAGGCAGTTGTGAGGAGTTGGGCTGTTTCCATTGTGGCAGCTGGGGGGTGTGAGTGTGGGTGCTGAGGCTTCAGCAGTGTGGGGACTTAGCTCAACCCCCCTCTCCCGCCCGTTCCTGAGGGCATCTCAGAGTTTTCATGGAAGAGACTGGTGTGCCCATAAATTTCTGTGGCTTGCTTGATCTCTTCTGAGATTTAATTATGATTCTGTAAAACTGGGTCAATGGATGAGTTTACATGGTGGTGGTTGTGGAATGTGGATGTCAAATATACTTTAATAGTATGTACATTAACAAAATGAGAAATACCTATCATTGCTTTTTTAAAAAATTAATTTTGGACACCATGTTTTACAAATTTTATTAGTAGGGTTTCATACACAAACTGTTTCAGCGCCATCATTGTTATTTATACTTAGTGGCAATTACTGATTAAATTGCAGGTAGGTAGTGTAATTTATAAAATGAAGATATCTTTAAAATTATTTATAATTGTTTTGTTTTAAGTTTTAGATTATTATGTTGGTCTTTATTGAACACTTTTTAAAATATGGAAAAAGCTAAATATTTATTTCAAAATACTAAAGAAAAGATGTTAGGGAGTATGACCTCATTTTCCATACTTTTTTTGTCTTAATTTTTATTTCCACTCTTCTTCCTTTATAGAAAGTTTAAACTAGACTTATCCAGTTGGTTCTTTGACCATTTTGAAGTGTTTTAGTCTAAGATTGGAGTATCATCTCATTAAGACTTCTTTCCCCATAAAATACACTTAGTTTATAATGTGACTCGCATAGGAGTGAGAGAAATATTTTAAAAATTGCAGCAAATTTCTTAACTACCTCTTGGCTTGAACTATGGTAACCGAATGAGAGTTGGAGCTAACTTTAAGTTTTTTTAAGTGAGCATTCCTAAAAGTCTTTTCCAATCTGATTGCAAAGTGATTCAGAATGGACTGAATCCTCTTTAAAAAGGGAAAGTATATACATGATTATGTCAGGGATTTTATTTGTGAGTCTGACTGTTTTCCCATTCTACTTTAAAAACCACAACGAGACTCCTTAGAAATCAGGAACTTTATCCTTAAGAAGGGCACAGCCAGAATCTACTCCCTCCAGGAATGTGAGAGAACTTCACAAGATGCCCTGCTGGATCTTAATCGATTTTTCCTGCTGGCTAATTAAGCATCACTTTTACTTAGCAACTGGGGACTGTGTAATTATCAGCCTGGGTTGCCCTGAATAATTGAAACAAACAGAATGCAGAAGGTGGGAGCATTTTGCAAAAGTGAGAATATCTATCATTGTTGGTAGACTGGAAGAGTGTTTAAAATAAACTTATTTATAATGTGACTTTTTAAGCAGATCATTGTGGGCTTAGATATATGCCTGAAATTTTAATTAGTAATTCATAGTTTTTAATTTTCACAATTTTATCTATTTTTATGGAGTAGCATATGAAATAAAGGTAGAATTAGTTAAAAATTTCTTATAAGGAGAGGGATGCCTGAAATATAATTGTGTATATGTATATATAATATTAGTATAAATCTGTGGCAAATAGTACAAAAATTGCACCATATCTGTGAAGACAAATATACAACGAGGAGGGATACTTTCATATTTATACCATAGTTTCTAGAAAGAACTAGATTTCCAAATTCAAAATTGTTTTTTAAAAAAGTGTTTTTGTGGTGACTCATTGATATCAGGCTAAACTTCTTACTCTTCTATAAAATGCGTATATATGCATGCACACATAGAAGCTATTTTTGTTATGGGATAGAGAGTGTTCCTTGTACTCGGAGAACTTGCTGTATGGTTTGTGGGATAGACATTCAGGAAATAATCAGAAGCCTTAGGAAACATCTGCATGGCTGATGGAAGCTTTGTGTTCATTGATTTGTTGGAAGAAAGATGACACTTTATTTAGAATTTAGTAATTATCAAATCACAGAGGAAATGAGGAGCCAGAAATTAGATACTATACAAGAAAATGGGAAAATGAGGCTTTCCTTTGGCAAGCTGTTTGAAATTGCCTTCCATTCACCCATTCAATCATCATCCCATTAATGTAACTTATCTTACTGAATTCTCTTCTTCAGCCATATCACCACTATAGCCCCATTTATGGCATTTATGGCTGGTCAGCATTATGCTCTTACATGTATTGATACGTATATTAATTTGAAAGCTTGCACGGTGACAATCACAGTTACTATTGTTGTGTGGTATATGTATCTTTCCTCTCCAGAAAGCTCAGTGTGAAAAGAATAATGTACATTGCCATACTCGAGCATTTATGTCAAGATGCCAGCTAACATGAAAGGAGTTTTTGAAGACCATTTACAAAGTTTTATCTTTAGTCTTATTAAAAACAATAATAGTTTAGGGGATTGGTAAATTTGGGGGTAGGAAATGATCGAAAATGAATTTAACATATCAGGGTTGTATTTGAACAGTAGATTAGAAGTCTCTAAGACCAAAGAAATAGTACAGTGGGTAGGGCATTTGCCTTACACGTTGTGTGGTGGACCCAGGTTTGACCCCTGGGATCACATCTGGCTCCCTGAACACTACCAGGAGTAGTTCATGAGTACAAAGGTGGGTAAGCCCAAGAGCTACTGGGTATGTCCCCAAAACGAAATAGCAAAAAGGAAATCTCTGGCAGAATAATCTAGGAAAGCGACTGTATAAATATTATATGATTTATACACACACATATATATAATATGGGCTGGAGCAATAGCACAGCGGGCAGGGCGTTTGCCTTGCACACGGTGGCCGACTAGGTTTGATTCCTCCGCCCCTCTCAGAGAGCCACAGCAAGCTACTGAGAGTATTCTGTCCACTTGGCAAAGCCTGGCAAGCTCCCCGTGGTGTATTTGATATGCCAAAGAACAGCAACAAGTCTCACAATGGAGATGTTACTGGTGCCCGCTTGAGCAAATCGATGAACAATGGGAGGACAGTGCTACAGTGCTATATATAATATATATTTTTCACATATGTATTTCACTGTTCACACAGATACACAGACACAGACACACGCACATGCAGACACACACACACACACACACACACACACGCACGCACGCACTTCTAGTTTTTGTTGGGTCCTGGCTTCAGAGATGTTGAGTGTTCAAAAATGATTAGTGGAAAGAAGTGAAAATAACACTGTCTCAGATTCTTGGTAAATTAAGGGTTGGCCCTAATTTTTATGATATCCCAGAATTCAGTTATATTTGCCATAAATTAAAGTAATGCTATAAAGTATCTGACTCCATGAAAAAATGCTAAATGCCATTTGCCTTCATTCTGTAGTTTAGAGTGATTGACCCCAGAAATGATAGTTGTGTCAAGAGTTATGGGTATCCCCCAAAGTTCATCAGGTTTTTATTTTATTAAAAGTTGCTTTGATATTTTCTCTCCTCCAATCTTAAAAAAAATAAATGAATAATGATTATAGATAGTTCTATCCTACATACTAATGTTTTGGTCTAACATATTACCGATGAAGGATAATATTATCCAGTAAGATGAAGTTAAAACTCAGTGGCAATTTCTATGATGCCAAAGAAATGAAGCCTGTTGTGATATTTGATATCCTGAACTGTGTTCATTGCTCTTCTTCAAATTGCCTCCTCATTCAAAGCTTCTTCCTAAAAACTAACAGCTTTCATATTCAAAATCCAAGTTTTCATTGATTTCTTTAGAGAATGATTAGGGTGAGAGCCAGACAGGGGTCCCTCCTGTTTTATGACATGGTCACTGCAGGATCAGCGGCTGATGTGAGACACCTGGAATGAAGCAGGCATGATCTATATTCAGATCTGTGATGGTGTTCTTATGCCTTCACGTGTCTTTGGAGAAACATTCAAGCATTTCTTAAAAGTTTGATTCAGAGGAGGCCGTCTGACAGTGAACATACTTTGAGAGTTTGGGAAGTGCTGAAGTAAAGAGTAAAGTTTTATTACAGAAGTAGGGATAAATTCTTCTTAATGGTCCTGTCTGGAGCAAACTAGGCATTTATGTTCGCTGTTGGAAGGGAAGGCCAGAGTCAAAGGGAAAAAAATTGTATTGTTTACTTCTGTGAAACTTGCAGAAGCTCCTAAAACAGACCTGAAGAGTTTTGACATACTGAAATGAAATATGAAACAGTTTGAATATAAAATATTTCTAATTTAGGAACTTCAACTTTTTCTTTTCAG